CCCCAAAACCCCAAAACCCCAAAACCCCAGACTTTAACTGATAAATTGAGTAAATTAAATTTTATTTAATTATCTGCAAATGCAACATAGAGATCATAGAAGAACAGAAAAATATCAATACCAAAACCCAGAAGATGAAAGATGTAAAGAGAACAGCTTGTCTTACATCCATGATGGTATCGAAGTGTCTTACATGTATGAAAGTGACCCCGATCCTGCTGATGAATTGGCTTATTATCCGAAGACCTCACCAACAACTCCAGAGGTACTTCATGAGATGAAGCAGTTTTCATCATATGGCCCTTCACAAGTAGTCAAGAAAAAGAATGGAAGCGCCTGAGGGATTAACCAAGACTTTTGAAATAATTACCTAGAAAAGGCTGAAGGTGACACTTATAGTCATATTGAGAGAATGAATCAAACTACTAAAGAGTTGTCAATCCAAGATGTCTGTGGTGAATATGAGTATGAATATGAGGAGCCTAGCACAATCAAATGAAGAAAGCTCAAAAAAGATCTCTCCTACGACCAATGTTCCGAAAAAGACGGTCTAACAGATTATCAAGAAATTAAAGAACAGAGAATAGCTCAAAATCAAAAGTACAGAAACCACAGAAGCTCAAGATCAGTTAGAAGAGAGCAAGCTCAAGAAGATTCTGAAGATGGCTACATTACACCAAGGAATAATGATTGAGATCAGAAAGATTATCATCAAGAAGATGATTTCCACAAAACATCGACTAACTGCAGAAGGAGAAGTATGAGTCGATCTAAAGGGCATATCGATACTCTATACAATAAATTAAATGATCAAGATGAGGATCTTCCTGCGGAAAAAGACAATCCAACTAGTGTCCATCAAGGTGCTTGCTATACATTCTATGAGCCAGTTTTCATTCCTCAAAATGCTGAGTTAAAGCTGAAAAATCATAAATACTCCAGCCCCTTTATTCAAATGAGAAGAAGTATAGATCTCGATGACAGGTGTAAAATTAAACCATCTATTGAGCAAAACCAAGAGGTTATAGAAATTCCAATCGACCAGCCAAAGCAAAGAGATAAAAAGAAGAAAAATAAAAAGAAAAGAAGTCTTTACAGAGGATCACCTCCTCATCTTGGAGAGGTAGAGGAGGATCCTAAACCTTCTTCTACTCCACGTCTTGGAAGGAACTCTAATTATGATGATAGGAATACTCCAGTGAAATTGAATCTCGCAACCAGAGCAACCATTGATAGAATAGAGGAAGAGAGAAAGCATATAAAATTTGATAACAAAGAAGACCAAATCCAGTATGACCTCCAAAAGATGAAGAAAGTGATATATCTTGAGTCCTTCAACTCATTCCCTCCAGACTCAGATCTTTACGAGTCTACTGAGCAAGCTATCTATAAGCTAAGGGATTTGGTAGATACCCTCGAGCAAGATTACTCGTGACATAAATGTAAGTTGCCCAAAAGCTTCTTGAAGAAAATATAATTTATAGGGTCCAACGTAAATACCTTGTTCAAGGCAGAAAGAAAGATCGATGATTGCATTCAAGAATATCGATATAATTACAGAGTGAATACATACTTCAACCAGTTGAAAGAGATATTAAAGTTCAAAATAGACCAGCAATGGATGTCCAAATCTGGAGTATCCCTTTTCAAGTACGCTTGAGTTCCTTAATAATCTATAGAAGTATTGAAAAGAAGAATACTAAAGCATCCATTCAGGTTTCTTCCAAAAAGGAAGACTCTAAAGAGTGCATAAACATCATCAACGACGCTTCAAATCCCAAAGGCACCTCACCCCCTACATCCCAGGATGCCCAAGTACCAACCACCGCTAAACTCTCGTCCAAACTCTCTTCTAAAACCTGCCCTAAAAACCTTAAAATCTCCAAGAAAAAGATAAAACTATGCAAATCCTCTAAACTCAAGAAGCTTAATAGAGCCATTGTCGGCTCTTCATGTGGTAAATTTGTGAAGATAAAGAAGAGTGACCTTCAGGTGGAAAATAATGTATCGAATGTGAGCTCGGCAGGGGTCGAGTTTTCGGTGTCGTATAATTGAGGTAATGAGGGTAGTCCTGGTGCTTCTCAGAAAGTTTCTAATATCCTGGAGGGGATAGAAGATAGTCAAGAAAGTCTTAAAACTGAGGAGATCAGGGAGAACAGAATTGTACAATGTGAAGGAATAGAGATCTTGGGAGAAAAGAAACAAGAGCCAGAAAGGAAAGGTTCCATAGGCTCTGAGACAGGTTCTACTGACTCCAATGCAAAGAAGAGCGTCTAGATAATAAACGATATTTGATTTTTCAATTTGAATTAGAAAAGTTGGGGTTTTGGGGTTTTGGGGTTTTGGGGTTTTGGGGTTTTGGGG